AAAGCTGTCACAGAGAAGCTGCTGAGGACTAGACTGTGGCAAACATGCTGAATGCCAATGTGGGGATGTTTGTCACTCTGTCACATGACTGTGTTCAGCCATTCATTCAGTCTGCAGCAAATCTATAGAAACAACATTGCTTTTCCCAACCCGCTGATCCTGTTAAGGTGACGTGCTGCCTATGCATCATCCATTATGGCAGGTTAAACCATACGAGTGTATTACACTGGCAGCACAGTGAAACCTACTCGTGGTTTAAACAGTTTCATATGCTGAGGCTCAGCACTCGGGGAATGTGGGACACAGGAATTAGATGAGTAGGATGAGTCTCACTGACAGTGGAAACATCTATTATTTCAAAAAATGTACAATAAAAATAATCTCTGTCATTTATTAATTAAAGTTAAAATGCTTTTATTTTCATGGCATTGTTTAACCCCAAAAGCCACTGGAGTCAAATGAAACAGATTTCATTTGCTGAGCAACAGCAAACTTCACTCTGAGGTCAAACTGACCATTCAGCTGGTGGAGTTGTGTCAAACTCGAGGAGGTCGAGGAGTCTCAATACATAAAGACATCAGTCCAGATGTGCAGCATTTTATTTAAACGTATGTTAGCCTTTAACTTTTTGAACTCCTGCATGTCTGCAGTTTAAATTCAAATGTAAGTACTTCAAACCCGATAAATAACCTTGAATGGTTAAGAGGGTGAGCAGCAAACTAACAAAGTGAAAGAAAAAGTCAGTAAATATGAAGTGAAATGTGAACCATGTCACGTTTTACAGAAAGCAGCCTTGGTGCTCTTTAACTAAAAACACAAACTCCTGTGATCTGCTTCAGCGTCACCTCCTCGTGCACCTCTGCATCGCTTGGACACTCGCTGGACGTCCTGCACACACCACAGGCTTGTGTTAATGTTTGTGAAAACAGCTGCAATGTCTGCTGTGTTCATCTTTTTCATGCCTGAGAAAATCTGTCTTTGTGAGACGACCCAGGTTAGTTATGTTCTGGAGTTGAATCCACAGACGGTCGTATATCACCCTCTTTGCTGATTTCATGTTCAGGTTTCAGTGTTCTGGAAAAACCTCCTAACTTTTTAACAAAGTGCACAGCTCATCGTTACCTTTAGTGGTGGTTTTACATTGTGCAAAAATTTATTTGCCACTAAAACACAAGGATGGCATCTCCATAAAACCTCTCTTGACATGTCTAGATGACATTAAAGCTTGGTTGGCTCTAAACTTTTTAAATTTTAATGAAAAGAAAACAGAAGTGTTGGTGTTTGGACCCAGCGGTCCCTGTGAGTCCTCCTCTGTTGTTTTAGGATCCCTGGAAGTTTATTTTAAATCTGTTGTTACTGACCTTGGTTTTAAGTTGGACAGTGATTTTAAATTGGACAACCAAATCAGAGCAGTGGTGAAGTCCAGTTTTTATCATTTAAGGCGACTGGCAAGAGTAAAATCTTTTCTTTCGAGGCAGCATCTTGAAACAGTGATCCATGCTTTTATTTCTTCCCGCCTGGATGACTGTAACTCACTTTATGTGGGGGTCAGTCAGTCGCTGCTCTCACGTCTGCAGCTGGTTCAAAATGCAGCTGCACGACTCCTAACAGGAACTCGTAAAAGAGAGCATATAACCCCCGTGCTGGCCTCTCTGCACTGGCTGCCTGTGTCTTTTAGAGTTCATTTTAAACTTCTTATGTTTGTTTTTAAATGCCTCCACAGTCTTGTCCCCACACACCCTGTCGGTCTCTCAGGTCAGCTGACCAGCTGCTCCTGGAGGAAGCTCAGAGGGGGCGGGGCCTTCTCTATTGTGGCTCCAAAATTATGGAATAATTTGCCCGTGCACGTTAGAGAGGCGCCTTCACTGTCCACTTTTAAATCACGTCTTAAAACCCACTTACCCAACTTAGTTTCTCTTTTAATTGAAGTAGTTATTTAATGATTTCACTCTTATTTTATTTGGTTTTTACTTATATCTCATGTAATTTTATTTTACAGTTCCAATGTACAGCACTTTGTGTCAGCTGTGGTTGTTTTAAAGTGCTTTATAAATAAAGTTGATGATGAAGTATTTCTGCCACCAATTACTTCTTGTCATGACAAGACATCAATTACAGAAATACTCGCAATCATAAGATTATCATGGTTGTTTTAAATGCAACAGAGGACATTTGTAGTGCGATGAATCATTTCAGCCTGTTGTGTGGCTGTGACGTGTGTAGCCTGTTGTGTTGCTGGTTCCCTCTGAGAACACGTGGACACGTCTGAGAGCAGCTGATTGTGCGGCTTCACTGGCAGAAGTTACAGGAATTTCTGAACACTGTGTTGCATCTGTAGCTTATTAAACACCAACATCGGTGCTTCCAACTTTTGGACCCTGGAGTTTTGTTATGCTGTGCAGCTTTTCAGCAACAGCGTCGGTGCCAGGTTGAAGGTGAAAAATTGGTAATAGCGTCCTTTTGGCCACAGTGAGCTCTGATAAACCTGCTGCCCAACTAATCAACACTGTGGAGGTTTTAGCTGCTTTTAGAACGATGGAAAACGAAGCCTCCAAATGAATAATGATGCTGCTTTGTGCCCACTGGGTGTGGAAATGTGCAACAGTTGGCTTATTTACACAAGTGACAAAACCATTAATGAAAATGTCATTGATCTGTTTGACCTTTAAGGTTTGGATGAGCCGCCTCTTTCAGAGCCTTCTGAGCGTCCGTGTGCTGGTATGTGGGGCTTTGATGTTTAACTCACTGGAAAAAAACATCCAAAAATTATTGTTTTCCCATAATAAAAAGATAAAAACATGCAAAAACGTTTTAATTTGTAATCCAAATTACACATATACAAGGATTCAAGATATTAGCATGTCATGTTCAGAGACCACAGCCAAAAGAACAACAAGAGAAAAATACAATCTGTACATGTTTGAGTTTACAGTGAGTAGCCAGTTGAAGAGTACCAGAGAACACTAAGGCAAATCATCAGCGGACAGAAGAAAACATTGCCTTTTTAATCCACCACAGCAGAGTATCAAGAAGTATCTTTGCTACGAAACAAGGACTGATGACTTCCTTTATTAGCGATCAGCTGCATACGTTACATCGTGAGAAAAGCAAAACAAAAAACAACAGAAGGTATCTATCTAAAGTCAGCATTACTGTACACGTCTTCTCACCAGCTTTGGAAAATCACACTTGCAAAAATATCCAGCTCCTCTGTGCAGCTCTGGGTCTTTGTTTCAAATCATCGTCAACGATGTTACTCGCACAGCTTCACCGAGGTGGCACATCGGTGCTGAGCGCGGTGGCCCTGCACTCAGTCTTACAGTTTACTTCAATTATCTGATAATACTGGAAATCGGCTTCACAAAGCATAAGACTGGAGCTTTTATTAAAGTTTGGAGGTGAGACGCTGATGTCCACGGCTACGCTTTTTTGGTTGTTCGTGTCGCTAACGTGCAACTTCATCAGAGCCCTTTAAAAATGGTGAGTTTGGTGAAACCCTGGAGCAGCTGATGATGGCTCAGCCTCACCGGCAAAAACTAGTCCTGATGAGTGAAATAAAAAAGGGCCGCGGACGTCGATCACCAATGACCACGGTCACAGGACGGAGCGTGTGATGTCACACAGTCATTTACATTGTCTAAGAAGCCTTAAAGCAAAGTGGGTGAGTGACAGAGCGCACACATTTAAATAAGCGGAGGGTATCCTGCATGACGTGTGCTTCTGCAGTAAGAATTAAAAAGTAACCAGGTTTGGTTATTTGGTCATCAGTAAATTATCTGAGTATGAGACTGAGTGAGGCTGGTGACAGGACATATGTCCCACCTCTGCCCCTGTGACAGCTCCAGCTTTGCACTGATGGGCTGCAAAGTAGCTTGCAGAAGCGAAGAGAACATGAGAAAGCTGCAACAGCTTCAAGC